AGTTTTGGGGGTGTCTAGCTAACACCTTCACTACATATACATTGTGATTCACAAACTGTAGTTTACATTGCAAAGAACAATGCCTATGATAGAAAGAAAAGACTTACAACTGATTTATGTACTTAACTACTCTATAAGCCTTTAATGGTGGTCTATACTGAGATAGACTTGATAGAGTTAAAAGTCTATATTGAGATGGACTTGACAAGACATAAAAAACTATAATGTGATTAGACTTGTCAGAGTTAAAAGTCTATGGTGAAATAGACTTAGACATGGTGGAAGTCTATATTAAGATAGATATAACAGACTTGTATAAGCTAGATCAACAATGGAGAATGAATTTATACTTCTTGATCTAGTTGGGCAAAAAGCCGAGTGGCTGAGAGACCTACTGGCAGACATGCCATGGTGGGGGTGTGCTACACCGTCTATGCCCATACACTGTAACTCACAAAGAAGGCACATTACGGTCATACATGAGTCTGTAAGACAGTTGATTACGACTGGAGCACTCACATTAGAGTATATGGAGCCTGAGAAGAATAGCAGATCCTCTCGCTAAAGGACTAAATAGAAAGGCCGTCCTCGATACGTCGAAGGAAATGAGCTTAAAATCAACAAAGTAGGCCAAGCTTACGTACTCATAAAGCAACTGAACATGAGATGTTCTAAGCTAGGGTCTACACAGAGGTAGACCACAAGTCAAAGAGTTTGACTTCCGAAGAACCTGCATAATGGGTGCTGATGTGTGCACATGAGTTCAAAACTACCTCTCCTTTGCTAGTTCAAGATTCAATTCACTACTAAGGAGAAAGTTACTCAAGTCACTACGTATCAGTTCAAGGTTTAAACCACTGGCATTAAAGTCAGCGCTCACTTCCGCTCAGACATCGACTGCATTCACACTTGTGGAGTGTGTGGGGGATGTTGGGAATAACACCCAAATAAGTGTGAATTATTTCCATCCACAATAAATTGTGGAGTGAGGTTTAACTCCTACAAATGTGGTCCTCTCCACCACTCCCCTATTTTAGTGGAAATTTAATGGCTAAGAGAGGAGGAGCAGGTAATTCTATAGCTATAAATACCCTGCTCCTCCCTGAGCTCTAAACGCTCAATATATTCTTCTCTTCTTCTCTTTTGCAATCCTGAGCTTCGGTGTTAACTGGTCGAAAGCAACCGGTAAGACTGTTACCGTCTCCGGGCAATATTTGCTTTTAAGGTAGTGTCTTGCGCACGTCACCGATTGATTCAGGATTTCTTCTATACTCAGCCTATATAAACAGTAGCCTAGATCTACGACATATTCTGACCAATTTCCCAACACATGCCTCACTCTGGTCCCCAACAACCTCCTCGACGTCATCACCCACCTCACCGGCAGCATCACCTTCAGTTTCAGCTTCAGCTTCATCTTCATCTTCATCTTCATCTTAGATTAAAACAACACATCAAATCAACTTAAAATAATCAAATTAAACTAAAACTCACTTAGCAGTTCAGTGATCGTTTCATAGATATTAAAAACTCACCCCGCCTTATCCGGGTCCTCCAAGACAACATATTGCTTCAGAACTAAATCACTGAAATAAAATTTTAAAAAATAAATAAATAATAAAAGTAATCACTTAATGAAGAAATATAATTACTGCGATCATCAAACTTACCTAACATATCTTGCATGATCTGATATTGCACATCAAACACTTCATAGATCTGAACCACAACACTGGAGTTGCCCATTATTTGCTTCGGATTTATAGCCTCGAATGCGTCGAAAGCTTTTTCACGATGGCTGAGCATCATCTCTAACGATAACTTCTTGTTTTCCATAATCGTGGATGGGAGGGGAGGCTTGGGAAGGAAAAAGGAAAGACGGGCTTGGGAACTGGGAAGAATAGAAATCCGGAAGAAGTGAGTGACAGCTTTGTATTTCAAGGTCTTGACTCTTGAACTTGCAAACCTTACTTAGGTAGCTAAGCTAAACAGCTGTAATAATTTGTAATAATTTGCAGTACAACATTCTTGTTTTTTTTTTTTTTTCCAACCATCAGTAGTACTGAATATTGTTTTTGATTTTATTTATTTATTTATTTGTTTGTTTTGCACACACATTGGGATAGAGAAACATTGTCAAATATCAAATTTTGCATGTACTGTAAAATCAACACAAGTCACATGACTTTGTCCCGTGCGTAAAAATAATAAATGTGGAAACACATTTTATTAAAACAATAAATGTGAAAACACATACTTTTTCTAAATATAAAATTGACTCCGTATGTTTTTACTAAAACCCTAACCATTGATGAACCCGGATAAACACCATCTGTATAAGAGCTTGATATCACTTTATATTAGAGCCTATCACTTTATATTAGAGCCTAATCAATTCTATTTCTTGCTTTGATATCACTTCTATTCCTAAGCTCTTGTGTTCAAAATTTTGCAACCTAAGCTCCGAAAGCATCTGTATCAGAGCATACCATATTCTCTTCAAACTAGAGCTGGCCAAACTCCAGGCCCGGTCCAGTCCAGTCCTGGACCTCGTTCAAACTAGTGCTGGCCAAACTCCGGGCCCGGTCCAGTCCCGGGCCTCGTTCAGCACAGCTTAGGACCGGCCCATAGTATTCAGGGCCGGTCCCGTGCCGAGCCTGGGTCCGGGCTTCTTGTGGGTCGATCCCGGGCTAGGCCCGTAATTTGTTATTTTTTTAAAAATATATAATTTTTTTTTATAAATTGATATATTTTGTTTGAAATAAGATTTGAACTCTTAACCTTATAGTAATAAATTTAAGTTCTTTTCAATTAAACTACTATAACCTTTTAATACATCAATACTAATATATATATATATATATATATATATATATATATATATATATATATATATATATACACACACACACACACACACAAACATACACATTAATATTTTTAAATGACGTTAATATACACATAACCATTAATATTTTTCTTTAAAATAATATTTTAATTATTAATCTCAAAATCTAAAATTAATATGATTTTCTACTAAATTAATTAAAATTTATAAATGACGTTAAATACATTTAAACTTGTAGTCTTGTACTATTAAAACTTTATATAAATCTTAATATTATTTGATAACTTATAAATATTATAAAATGTAGTATAGTTTATAAAGTTCATTTGATATTTACTCACTAAATTATGTTAGAGTGATAAATTAAAAATTTATAAAAGTCACATATTGTCAAATGTCAAATTTTGCATGTACTGTAAAATCAACCCAAGTCACATAACTTTGTCCAGTACTTAAAAATAATAAATGTGGAAACGCATTTTACTAAAATAATAAATCTGGAAACACATTTTACTAAAATAATAAATGTGAAAACACATACTTTCTCTAAATATAAAATTGACTCGTATGTTTTTACTAAAACCCTAACCATTGATGAACCCTGATAAACACCATCTGTATAAGAACCTAATCAATTCAAATCAATTATAAAATTGCTCTGATACCATTTTATATCAGAGCCTAATCAATTCTATTTCTTATGTTCAAGATTTCGCAACCTAAGCTCCGATAGCATCTGTATCAGAGCTCAATTAATTCTAATTCATATGCCCAAGATTTATAGCTTCGAATGCGTCGAAAGCTTTTTCACGATGGCTGAGCATCATCTCTAACAATAACTTCTTGTTTTCCATAATCGTGGATAGGAGGAGGAGGCTTGGAAGGAAAGGAAAGAAGGCTTGAAACTGGGACGAATAGAAATCGAGAAGAAGTGAGTGGCGGATTTGTATTTCAAGATCTTGACTCTTGAACACGCAAACCTTGCTTGGATAGCTAAGCTAAACAGCTGTAATAATTTGCAGTACATTCTTGTTTTTTTTGTCCAACTGTAAGTAGGATAGAATATTGTTTTTGATTTTATTTTTTTATTTATTTGCACACACATTGGGCTAGAGAAACATTGTCAAATGTCAAATTTTGCATGTACTGTAAAATCAACACAAGTCACATGACTTTGTCCAGTGCGTAAAAATAATAAATGTGGAAACACATTTTACTAAAATAATAAATGTGAAAACACATACTTTCTTTAAATATAAAATTGACTTCGTATGTTTTTACTAAAACCCTAACCATTGATGAACCCTGATAAACACCATCTGTATAAGAGCCTAATCAAATCAAATCAATTATAAAATTGCTCTGATATCACTTTATATCAGAGCCTAATTAATTCTATTTCTTGTGTTTAAGATTTCGCAATCTAAGCTCCGATAGCATCTGTATCATAGCTCAATCAATTCTAATTCATATGCCCAAGATTTATAGTCTCGAATGCGTCGAAAGCTTTTTCACGATGGCTGTGCATCATCTCTAACGATAAATTATAAAATTGCTCTGATACCACTTTATATCAGAGCCTAATCAATTCTATTTCTTGTGTTCAAGATTTCGCAACCTAAGCTCCGATAGCATCTGTATCAGAGCTCAATTAATTCTAATTCATATACCCAAGATTTATAGCCTCGAATGCGTCGAAAGCTTTTTCACGATGGCTGGGCATCATCTCTAACGATAACTTCTTGTTTTCCATTATCGTGGAAGGGAGGAGGAGGTTTGGGAAGGAAAATGAAAGAAGGACTTGTGAACTGGGATTTTTTTTTTTTTTTTGATTTGTTTGAATAAACAACTCCATGCCTAACTCTAATCCCCAAAGTAGACAAATAAATAAAATAATTAGTTTTTTTTTAAAAGAAAATCAAATACATTAAATAGTAGAGAGCATATCACAATTAAATAAAAAAAAATGATAGGGTAAAAATGTAAAATGTTGTTATGAAAAAGATGACCAAGTGAGTTAATGATGATTCTAATTTCTATTACTAAAAAATATTCTTGTCAACTGTTTTTTTGTTGAACTAGTTGCACATAGACTTACACACTATTACTCGCGTAGTTTACTTTAAAATAAATCAACATACCTAATCTCTTCTAAAAATGTCCCAAATTTTGTTTAAGAGGTCTTTCAACGCTTTGAATAACCAGCTCCATTGCTCGCTCAGGTCAGTCTGGTGCCCAACATCATCTTCTTTAGCTTTAGAAGATGATTCAGTTGAGATTAAAACAAAACATCAAATTAAAGTTGTCAAATTAAAATAATCAAATTAAATTAAAACTTACATAGCATGTCAACGATCTCTGTATACGAATTAACAACTCTTGAATTAACACCTCCAAAGCAACAGTTTAACTTATGAAATAAAAATAACGACAATCCATTAATTAATATATTAAAATAAGCGGAACAAGTCTTTTAAGGGGTGCAAACAGGCCACAGCTAAACTACACCACAAAACAACAAACAATGACTGATCATAAGTCTAAGTCATAGTACGGGGCAGGGGCACATAGAGGCCATAACAGCTAGTGGTCTTTGGGTGCAAACAGGCCGCATCTAAACTACCGCTAAAATAACGACAATCCATTAATTAATATATTAAAATAAACGGAACAAGTCTTTTAAGGGGTGCAAACAGGCTACATCTAAACTACACCACACTACAACAAACAACGACTGACCATAAGTCTAAGTCATAGTACAGGGGCAGGGGCACACAGAGGCCATAACAGCTAAACTAGCGTAGTCTAAACTGGCTTATCCATTACGCGCTCCCCTAAAAACATTAAGGTATAACAACTATTAGCAAATTATGGTGATATATAATAACGTGGCAAAATATTAGAAATACAAAATAATTATTTGAATAGGTTTTAAAAGAGTCAGAACTATTAATAATTTTAAATTGTTTCTGTAACATATTTCTTCTTTCCCTGTCCACTTTTTATTCTAGTGTAGACCAAAAGCTGGGATGGGAAGAATAATGACAAAAAGTCATTAGATAAGAACTTGTGGTCGATAATGTAGTAGTAAAAAAGTAGGGAGGAGGAGGCTTGGAAGGAAAAGGAAAGAAGGGATGGGGAACTGGAAGAAGGGCTTGGAAAATCGGAAATAGTGAAGGGCATATTTCAAGGTCTTGAGTGAAGGGGCAGAACATGCCAGCAAAATTGTTAGCTGTAATCAGGACATTATTGTTTTTATTTACAACAGACAGTACGAGCAGAATATTGTTTTTGATTTAATTTGATTTGATTTTTTTTTCACACACGTTGGGATAGAGAAACATTGTCAAATGTTAAATTTTGCATGTACTGTAAAATAAACAGAAGTTACATAGCTTTGTCCAGTGCGTAAAAATAATAAATGTGGAAACACATTTTACTAAAATAATAAATGTGAAAATACATACTTTCTCTAAATATAAAATTGACTTCGTATGTTTTTACTAAAACCCTAACCATTGATGAACCCTGATAAACATCATCTGTATAAGAGCCAAATAAATTCAAATCAGTTATAAAATTGCTCTGATATCACTTTATATCAGAGCCTAATTAATTTTATTTCTTGTGTTCAAGATTTCGCAACCTAAGCTCTGATAGCATCTGTATCAGAGCTCAATCAATTCTAATTTATATGCCCAAGATTTTGCTCTGATACCATCTTCTTTTCAAACTGGACGGGTAGACTCTGTCATCACCGTAAAATGGCATAACATTGTGTTTACGGCGGCAATGGGGGTTCAAGATTTGAACTCAATTAATGTAAAATGTTCTTTAGACTAAACTGTTGAAGCCCTTTCCTTTCTTTGACTGTTTTCCAAAACAGACCTTGAATTGTTGTCTTATGTTTGTTTTGTTATGTTATGGTAATGCAGTATTAAACAAAACAACAACATAAATATCTAAATCACCTGAAACAAAAATAAATAAATAAATTAATTAATTAATTAATCACACTTAATGAAAAAATATAAGTACTGCGATCATCAAACTTACGTAACATGTTGTCCATGATCTCATAATTCCTTCCAAACTGTTCAGTGATCTTAGCTATAATTCTGGAGTTGGCATTTTTTTAGCTCCTGACATATACTACTGAATGTGTCGAAAGCTTTTTCATGCATGGTGCGGACTTTCTGTATCAATGCCTCCTTGTTTTCGATTCTTGACGCCATAATCGTCGAAAAGAGCTTAGGAAGAAAAGAAGCTTGAGGGAAGAAGTGATGGGACTGCTTTTTGAAAGAAAAATAATAACAATGAAAAAAGTGTTATGAAACAAAACAAAAAATGTAAATGTCCAAGTTGAGACTACCATTCAAAACCTTCACATAAAAGACGAGGCTATTATCTGCAAAGTGCTGCATACAAGTTTCAAGCAAGGCTGTTTCAAGGTCTTGAACACGCAAACCTTGGCCCTTGGGCAGCAAAGCTACATAGGAGTGGATTCTTGGACAGCTGTAATAATTTCAAAAGAGGGCAGTACATCTTTGTTTTTTGTCCAAGTGCCAGTAGGATATAATTTTTTTTTTTGATTTGTTTGAATAAACAACTCCATGCCTCACTCTGGTCCCCAACAACCTCCTCAACATCCTCCTCGACATCCTCGCCCACCTCACCGGCAGCATCACCTTCAATTTCAACTTCAACTTCAACTTCAGCTTTATCTTCATCTTCATCTTAGATTAAAACAACACATCAGACCAAAGTTACCAAATTAAAACAATCAAATTAAACTAAAACTCACTTAGCTGTTCAGTAATCGTTTCATAGATATTAACAACTCGCCCCGCCTCATCTGGGTACTCCAAGACAACATATTGCTTCAAAATTTTTTAGCATTATTAAAATTTTTTCATGGTATTCATAAAATACTTAGTAAATAAATATTTAGCATTATTTTGTATTATAACTTTGATAATTAATTAAAAAATAGTGCACAAAAAAAGATAATAGACAATTTATTGTATATAATCAATTGATGAATTTGAATGTAAAGAATTTTTACATTGGAGAAAAACTAAAGACAATATAACTAATGAAATTATTTCTCTTAATTAATTTATTGATAATGAATAATTTTTTTTGAATAAAGACATTGTAGGGACAATGTGGCAAATATAATTGATGAACTTGAATGTAAAGAATTTTTATATTGGAGAAAATAAAGACAATATAACAAATGAAATTATTTCTCTTATTTAATTTATTGATAATGAATAATTTTTTTTAAATAAAGACATTGTAGGGACAATGTAGCACATATAATCAATTGATGAATTTGAATGTAAAGAATTTTTATATTGGAGAAAATAAAGACAATATAACTAATGAAATTATTTCTCTTATTTAATTTATTGATAATGAATAAAAAAATTTTGAATAAAGACATTGTAGGATATACACATAATTCTAAATTAAAGAAATGCATATGTATTATTTTTTGTTGTAGCTACTAAATTATTATTTAATTTAATAAGAATAAAATAGAGTACTAAATCTAATAAGAGTAAAATAGAGTACTAATTACGCCAACTTTGATTGGGATGGGGTTCGAACCTAAGACATTTCTTATTGAAATCAATGAGTAAGTTACAGTAAACTAACAGAAATTAACAGAAAAGATAATATTTAACGAAAAAGTTAACAAATAATCATATTCATTAAGGATAAATTATGAAATCTTAAGGAAAAATTAAAATCTGATCAATCTGAGCCATTCATTTGATTAAAAATTTTGACCGATATTTTTTCTACCCATTATAGACCTAACTCTCTTGCACTCTTATTAGTATAGTAGATAGTAGATAGTAGATTGTAATCATAGTATAGTAGATATAGTAGATATATAGGGATTAGGTGAGAACGGCTCTTGCAGAATGTGTTAAAATAATCTTACGACTATTAAACTTTCCAGTTTTAAATAATTATCAAAGGAAAGTCGCTTTTAAAAATTTTAATAATTATAAAATTGACTCCGTATTTTTTTACTAAAACTCCTAATCATTGATGAACCCTAATAATCAACCAATGGTCAAGAGAATAGTTTGACCTACAAAGGTCAGGTCAAATGAGAGAGAATATACACCAAACGTATAGAAATTATGATTCTTATTTATATTCCGTCTTTAAAAAGTTTTACTTTGATATTTTTTTATGGAGATCAAGAGAATATTTTTTTTTTTTTGCATACATACATTTAGATCACACGTAATACAATTTGATGTATCGATCCCAATAGATGTAAGGTCTACATATATGCAATATAATACAATGGATGAACTCAAAGACTTAAATAATATTGATTAATTAAAAGGTTGTTATATCAATCAATTTTTAATTATTAATAGTTAAACTAATGTAAGGTCTACACATATATACTTATAAAAAAAAAATTCAACGAAAAATAATATAATGCGTGGCACACTAAACAATTGTTGGTCAACTTGGCCTTTGATTTTTTTTTTTTAATTATTTTTTATTTTTGAATAACTAAAAAAATTTGTAGTCATTACTTGAGGGTGTGCATTACATAAATTTTATTTATGTGTACTAATTCACAAACCACACATGAAAGGTAAATAGGATTAGAAGGACCATGTATTAAGAGGATCTTGATAATAATTAAACTAATGACCTTTATATACAAGAATGATGCTCCACCAACTTAATCACCCCATTAAGGTGCTTTTTAAGAATTAAAAAAAAAAACCAAAAAAAAAAAAAAAAAAACTTAGTAAGGAGTCTTCATCTTCTATTAAAATAAAAATAAAAAATAGAAAAATGTCAACCACAACCACCCTCAATAACATCTCTTTAAACGCTAATAAATAGACTGTGATTAGTTAAATCGTTTTTAGGAAGACAAGCTAAAAAAAAAAAAAAAAAAATGACATTGATTGTTAATTTGTTAGTTTAAGTGAGAATGACAAATTAAATTGAATCATACGTTGCTTCAATAAAATAAATAAATAAATAAAAATTGAATCATATGTCTTTTCTCTATTTTTTTTCTTCTTCCATAACTGTCATGTTCATGTATTTATTAAACTATTATTCCCAACACCATCTACCTAGAAATTATAAATAAGATTTATATTTATCAAAAAGTGTCCAGACATTTAGGAGGCGTTTGGTTCACAAAATATTAGATTATCTTATGAAATGTTAGATTGTCGGGAATGTTTGATTATCTTATAAAACTATTATTCCCAACACCATGTATTTGGTTTAAAACTGAGCTATGTATTATAAATCTATTTGGTTGAAGAATTTTTTTTTTTTTTTTAATGTTATGATGATTATTTTTATTTGAATACTGTT